ATAAGTGAAAAAAAATCTGAGAAAACAGCAGTTTCTCTCGAAAACTTTATTTTTGTTTTAAATGTTTCATGGCAGCACTTTTTTAAACTTCCATTTAGAAAAAGTTAACTTTGCTTGAAACAAAGCTTGTCAACACATTCATCAGATGTTTCATCTGGAAGAAAGCAAGTTTTTACCCTCCTCACCAGTTGGTGGCAGTAATGCATTGAAAATATGGTCCATATTTTTAATTAGCTCACGTCTGGACCATTGTAATTATCCTCCGATTGGTGTCAGCCAGCTGTTCTTTAGCTGCTACAGCTGGAACAAATCGCTGTAGCATTATTAGCACATAACTCTGGTTTTAGCATTCGACCACTGTCATTCCAAAAAAGTAAAAAAAAAACAATGCACTGGACTTCAAGTTTGAAGACGTTTCAATTCCCATCCAGGAAGCTTTTTCAAATCGAAATATCAGAAATATCATTGAGTTCGAGGCTTTAGACATTAGCCCAACAAAGCCTTGTTTTTGCTTATAAAACATGCAAATTGAACTGGATGAACGGGTCCACCCGTTCATCCCGAATGGGGGTTGTGTGGCTCCTATGTTAGCCTGTAAAAACCAATACCTGTTTACGTCTGTGAAAGGGGGGTCGTTAAAGGGAATTGTTGGCCTGGCTGAATAGGCGGGGTCTTCTGTTGGAAGACCTTGGAGGAGGAGCAGTGGATTGTTTTTTAACTTTTTTTGGGTGACTATGACCTGATTGACTGAGAATCTTCAGCAGCACATCCGACCACTGGTGTCTTTTCAAGTTTCAAATTCTTTTTAAAAAAAAATATATTTTTTGCTTTTGAGTGTGGCTCAAACCATACATACCTCTGCATGTTCTTAGACCAGCAGAACCAGATGCTTCCATCTTTCCTAATGTCTACTTAATCAAAGGAGATGGAGCTTTTTGCAATTCTGGCTCCTAAGGTTTAGGTTGTTATATTTATAGAAGAAAAATTCCTTAAATCAAAGTTCCTCTTAGCATATCTACTCTTTATAGCATCAATTATTTTTTTGTGGAATAATTCGTACATCTGAGCCTGAAGCATAAAACCCTTTACAGTTGGTCGGATCAGAACCACAGCTTTGGGTTGTTCCGCTCATCTCTTACTTGGCGTTCTCCAGTTTGTCGTCTTCAGAGAGGCGGCCGGTTTTAACCAGCTCAAAGCTGACGCTCCCCGGCTGAATGGCGTCGATGAGCTCCAACACCGCCAGGCTGCTGCTGATCTCCTTATCCTGAACAACAGAGCAGCAAACACTCACCAACACGTTCTCACATCAAACCCCCAAAACCTAAAGGCAGAATCGCTGGAGCTCCAGTTTCAGTCCAAGTTGTTCACCTTAAAACTTGAGATCTTGGTAGATTTTCCAGCCTCTGCCAAAGTTTGGTTCACCCATTTTACAATGATGTCGTCATTGACTTTCTCTCCATCACCCAGCTCCTCCAGAACGTTCAACGTGTATCTAAAGGCGTGGAGAAACAGGAACTGTGTTAGGAGCAGGAAATGGCCCTCTAAGGAGAGTCAGCTGGAATCAACAGCTTTTCACTTAAATAAAAACCCTTTTCTCCTCGATTCAAGAAAATTCAGATTAGTTTTTTACTGCGATTTCTTTGAACAACTACTTCTTTATAGATGTGAACTGAGCATTTATCATAGCAGTTCCTTCCACCTAATATGGTCCAGCATGCTCACCTTTGAACATTTAGTGCAATTAAAACATTTGCCACCAAGGCTCGTTGAGCCAGTGACGTACAATGAATCCATGTTCATGGAGTTCCTAACTGCCAGTAGTATTCAGACAGCACTTATTATGGTGACAGAAGAGGCATTTCCCCTGTAGTTTAGACATCCATACTGATCCTCAGACCTACGGGCTATCCTATCTAGTCTGGAAAAATTGTTTACTGCTATATAAGAGGACCCTTTGTAAAGCAAGAGCTGTATATTTCTCCTCATTAATAGAGAATGCTAGGATAATTATCATTGATGTATGAGTTTATTACACCTTAATATTAGCTGCCTTTTGTGTGTTAGAACTGATGTTTTCCACAATAGTTTATCTAATTAAAGATATACAGTTATAATCTTTATTCTGTGCGTGGCAAAGATTTGGAAATGGAATGAGAGCGGTGTCCTTCAGCTAAGAACACAGTGTAACATTTTGATAAGGCTGGATCCATGGATGTCTACTCATCTGCTAATGTGTATGATGTAATGATGTGACGATGTGGCAGACTGGAGCTGTATAAAATGCCTTTTTAACTGTTAAACATGGCCACTTCCTGAGAGGTGAGCCCTGTTGGTGAGCAGCTGCCTTCTGTAAACTCTGAGCAACTTCTCTATTCTAGTAAGATTATAATTTAAATCATAATCTTAAAGTAAATGTCAGCGTTTTTCAGGTATGTGGTACAAACTGAAGGCACCAGGATAATAAAAGAACACATTTTTCCATCAGGTTTTGACATTTTAAGTTAATTTAGACGTTAAACTGTTTCAGAGGAGTGATCATAGCGCTCTGCATCAGCAGTGCTGTGTCTGTCTCCCTGCGAGCTCCCAGATCTGCCTCTCTGATTGGTTGATGTGGTGCGTCAAGCAGCAAATGTTACATTTTCCAACTTAAGCAGCTGCTGCTTGTGAAATTTTGAACATTTGAGCGAAATTTTCAGGGGACACTAGGGTGTACCAAAGCTGTACGTCCCAAAAACAGGGTGTACAATTACTAATCTTTTTACTAAATGGTGTATGCCCATATGCACTGCTACATAAAAGCCTGGTGTACGAGAAACAGCGTACAAAGGTTCCTGCTTAGGATTTTAGTATGTTTATAAGAAAACATTTTCTTAAGGCCTTAAAATGTTTCAATTTAATGAATCGCGTTAAAGTCTCAGCCCTGTTAGCAACTCATTGGTCAAGAGACTAACAATCATGAGTTTAACGATCTGGGCCATCAATCAAGGGCCCAACTATCGTGAACCAGACGACAGAAGCCCAATAATCAGCAACCCATTGATCAGGGGCCCAATGATTGAGGAAGAAACGATTTGGAGCCGACCCTCCTCAGCCTCTTCCTACAGCTGTAGACCTACTGAGTGGAACATTAAACGTGTCAGAAAACTGTCATGAACTCAATGTTCTTCAAATCTCCTTTTGGTCCAACAGTAGATCTTTTCATGAATGAAGATTTCCATTTAATCCCCTCCTGTGTAAAAACTTACCATAAAAACAGATCTAGAATGCCTAAAATAAGTGTTTGCCTGTAATTTGAGCGTTAAAATAATACGATTTTTCACTGGATTGAGTGTTCCTACCTAAAAATAAAATAAATCATTTTATTCCACTGGAAAATTGTCTAACCCAATCAACTCAAGGGAAAAAATATTTTAAGAAATGTTTCATTTTCAGTAGTGATGCGCTTTAAAAACAGCTTTATTGCTTTAATTCATGTATCTAAAAGTAAAAAAACATCTACTCTATTCAGGGAGCAGATAGACGATTAACCCTTGATGTGCGAAAACAAACCGTCCTTGATGTGTGAGCACATCTGAAACACGTTGCTGTGGCTACATACAGCCGAACTCCCGCTGCTCCCAGCAGTGAATCAGACCTAAAAGGACAGGATGCATCACCTCCTCATGAGCTGCCACACCAGAGCCAGAGTCAGGGTAGCGTTGCCATCGTTCAGGTCCTGCCCACCGATGCCCACGAGGGAAAACTTGGCTGACTTGCCCAGCTCCACCGCGTAGTTACAGTTCTCCAGCTGAGGGGAAGACAACACAAAGGTCAACATCACAGACGGCAGCGATCAGAGGGAAACACTGGAAGGGCTTCAGGAAAAGTACCTTCTTCATATTGGTTCCCAGTTTGGGATAAGGAGGCTTGTTGACCTTGTTGTTCCAGTCGACCTCCACTTTGATTCTCTCATAGAGCTGAAGGATGACCATAGCATCCTGCAGATCTCTGCAACACACCGTAGGACAGTCATCAATGCGGCCAGCGGAGGAGGACTGCCCAGCCCCGCTGTGCTCTGGTGATACTTACACATAGAGATGGTTCACCGTGGGGTTCACACCAAGGGAGTTCATCCAGTTCCTGAACGTTCTCTCTTCTCTGGTCTCGCCTGATCAGGACAGGATTGGAGGACCTCATTACATACGATGAAAACTAACAAAGACATGATTTTCCCTGACTTTTGGACCCAGCATCTGGATCCGTCCTTCATACTCACCCTCCAGGAGCCCCCAGTCGATGTCCTCGTTCTCCGGTTTAGTCAGCGCTGGATACTTGTTGAACAGATTGGCCACAAAGGCCAGGTTGAGTTTGGGGTTCCCACTCACCACGTCAGTCGGGGTGACAAACTGTCGACAGCCGAGCCGGTCGGCCTGCTGCAGCATCGCCTCCGCCCGTTTCAGGTCGTCTCTCTCCTGATCAACACACACAGACAGGGAATCAGGTCGGGGGTCACGGCACAGCTGCTAGAGTGACCAGGAGAAGCTTGGCTCCACAGGCTTACGCTGAAGCCGGCCATGTTGATGTCGATGCGAGGCTGATCCTCCTCTGTGCCTTTGGGGGAGATTTGATTCAGTAGGTGGAAATAAGCCCTGGAGTCCTGGCAATGAAAAAAAGAAGCAAAATATTACCATTACTACCACTAAAAAGTTAACAGTACAATAGCAAAAAGGGGTGGGGCTAAATAAGTTACACTTCAAGCAGCTCCCTTTAAGACATGTAATAAAATATGTACTAATTATCGTTTCTAGATCTTTAACCCTTAATAAAACCACAAGCAAAAGATCTAATGTGCCTTTTTTTCACTCATATAAAATTTAATTCCAGCTAAAAGTTTATAAAAATAACTTAAAATGCTGCAACACACATAAAATGGCTTCTGACTTCTTAAAAACTGGACCAAAGTGGTAAGTATTCACACCGTTGGATAATTATTACCCCTTTTTCACTAACCGAAAAACCTGTTTAAACCTGGAACAACCAGCCGTTAGTGGCAGAGGGAACAGTTCCCTGATGCGTGTCTACCCAGGTTAAAGGACTCGGCAAGCGACCCTTGTTCAAATCTCCTCGGCTCTGATCGGCATGCTGTGGAAACACCAGAGCTGGTTTGATCCGCTAAATTATGTGATACCATTGAACGCAACGCACGGACGTCAAGACACCGCACCAGTCTCTTCTGATCTAACAAGCAGAAACAACTCTGTTTATCTACGATAAACATGGAGCAGATCTGGTGAGAGGGATTCAGACAGATAATAGAGTGAAACAATAAAGCACACTGACTACGAGCTGGCTTCCTCTCTGTTGCTCTCCATTGTTTACTTTCCTGATTTCTGTCGCACTGGTATCATCAACACTAACCCAGCGTGCTGGTGTCACCAGGCATGCAGCGACAGGGAGAAAGAGACCATGCTGCTGCCAGTGAGGGGGAAGACAAGCTTTTTATACCAGCAGGAATTTTGGTGCCACCAGACTGAGTGTGCAGTAAGAACAATATGCATCTTTTACACTCTCACACCCTCAATCAAAACAGGTCTGCCGCGCGTTCAACTCTGACAACATGCTCTCGACTTCTTCTTGACGAGCTCAGCTTCATCTCTGCTCTCACTCAGCTTCACAGAATTAACTGATGTCATTTTGTTTACAGCTGTTAGATGCATCTTCATTGGGCTCATCTGAAATTCTTTTTGTTTACGCTTCGGATGAATCGGTGGAGTCACGTGACGGCACGCATGCTGCAGTGTCAAAGGGGAAGGAAATACCAGCCCCCTTCGCACACAGGAAAAAGAGATGCTGCTTCAGAAACTAAATCCGAACCCTCTGGTCTCCTTAAGGCCACGGCAGATCAGGCTGTGGGGATTCAGGACTTCAGCAGAAATAGGGAAGCTGGCTAGAATTAGAGGATAGATCTCAATACACAGCAGGAGGACAAAGGTCCTGAACCTGCAGCCAGAGATACAGCAGCTCAGAATGAAGCAGGTTACCATTAGAATGACCCTCTGGAGGCACGAAAAAAAAAATCTTGAGAGAATCCATCTTAAAATTAAAATTTGGTCTAATCCGACTGAAATTTAATACATTTATTAAAAATTGAAAATAATTAATTCTAGTTATTTAATGAGACTCATTCTACCAAAGAAAGTATGGGCTTTTTATTTGTAAAAACATCAAGTCATTAAACCAGGTTTATAAATATTATATTCAGTTTCTCTGCTAGATAAAAACTGTGAAATCTGCCAAAAGGTTCCAAGGATCAGGCGCGTCTCCCTGATGTTCTGAGTCAGTTTAGTGTAATGTAGAAGCAGGTAAGGAAATCAGAGGGTGAGGTCAGCTGTCTGCTGTGTTGGTGGATCTAGTTACTGGTCCTGTGCTCTAATGACGGGTTTAAGTCCCACTTCCTCTCCTGCAGAGAGGTTGTTTTCCATCCTTAAAAAAATGGGACTGTCTCCTTCCGGCCTCACCTTGATGTCAGAGCTGAAGTTGTTGATCTTTTGCCAGCCGGCGTTTTCCAGGTGAAAGTTTGCCCAGCGCAGCAGGAGCTCCTCTGGTGACAGCTTCATCAGGTCCTCCAGGGTTTCCCCGTCTCTCAGCAGGGCTGCCAGCGCTGTCCGCGGGCAGGGGGGGTGAAATGATCCGTTATTCTCTCAGACCACACCTGGGTGAGCCCCGGTGACTTAAGCATACGTTAGGTAATTGTAACGTGTGGCAGTACCTTCGTTTCTGCTGAGCTCGATGTCAGCGAACAGACCGATCTTGATGATCTGCCACAGGAGCCCCAGCACCAGATGGGGCTTCCCCTCCTTCAGGTCCAAAGCGCCGATGTTAACCACGTGGCAGCCGATGGCGGACGCCGAGTTCAGAGCCAGGTTCAGGTTTTCCTGGAAGAAACGAGTTGTTGATGTTTTTTAATAAAACGTTTACAGGAGACAAACAAAGCCAATGGTTGTGATGAGAAAAGAAACACACCTGGGTGGTGAACGGTGTCAGCTTCTTCTTGTTGATGGTTCGCTCATCGATGGTGTCCGGCACTGACAGGTTGATCATTTTGCTGTTTGAAAATGAAAATGTACATTTGATATATTTCGTATGGAAGTATTTTTAGGAGTTAAAGGAGGTTTAATAATAATAATAATTTTTAGGAGGGAAAAAAAAAAAATCATTTGGACCCCATTATTTGTCTTGCCAACATGTGGATGTAGCATTAGCAACATTAGCGATTAGCCCTGGTTTGTTTATCATCGTTTCCTGAACTTAGAAGCTCGCGCATTTTGAAGTTTGTTTGAGTGAGAAAGTCCTCCTTAAAATGTAAATGTAATTTAAAATGTCTCGATTATGATCCTGCTAAAACATTTTGTTCTTGTTTTTGCACAGTTAAAGCTTTGGGAAGCTGGCCGAGCTGTTGGGGATTTCCTGCTGCCATAGTAGCTGAAAGCAAACATGAAGCAGAACTAGAAGGTTTGGACATTTTTATTCACTATAGGTTCAATAAACTGCTTTGCCAGAGTTTAGAAAGAAAATATTTGATTAGGGTAATAATAAGTGTTCTCTGTTTTTTTTTTCTTGTACACAGAGAATCCATTCCCTTTAAGCCTGGCATACATTTTCAATCGTTGCACGCAGCTACAGCTCACACTGTACGACAAAACCGCAGGGTTTTAAAGTTCACAGCTCACGATGTATGATCTCACACTGTGCAACCCGACGGTCTTGATGTGATCTACCTGCTCACACTTTACATCTAAAAACCACGTCGGACTCAGCTCCGCAGTGAGATGGCGCTACTTTGACTCGTCGATCCGGAAGCCAAACGAGCAGGGGAGGAATATGAAGCTCATTAGAGTGAAACGCGCTGCCTTGGCAATTTGTGCAATTTTTCTATGGTGAAAGCCCTATAAAAGAAAAGGCAACAACATATTTAGACCAAAACATGGCTGAGCAAACGTGGCTACTACGGTCTGTCAATTTTACAGAAAGAACTCCATTGACTCTTTTGAAAATGAGCCAGAACCAGGGGAGTAAATGCAGTGTTCCAGGCTGTATGGAGAAAGGGGACATTTTTTACAGTCTTCCCAAGGATCTGAAGGCGGGGCCGCGGGTCGGGGTCACCGGGTCGGGTTTGGTCGCTCCGTCCCCAGCTGGCTCCCTGCCCCCGTCCGCCAGAGTTCCCGGACCAGCCTCGGAGCTGACCGATCGGTTCTGCTGCACTGTAGTCGACCAAAATCCCGGACCGTTTTGAAATTCCCCAGACATTTTTTAAGGTATGAAAAGTAGGACATGTCGGGGAAAAAGAGGATGTCTGTTCACCCTACCATATCAACAATTTAATATTTCAGTGAGTGAGTGTTTGTTGCTATGATGCGTCTTTGCTCGGCAGCTTAGCTGGTTGTAAACCAACCAATCAATGCCCAGCTCATCTAAATATTCATCAGCATACCATAAAAGGAAGAAAACATGTTGTTTCATTCTAGGGCTTTTAACCAGGCTTGCATTAGGGTTCATAGAACTGCAAATATGCCATTTTCAGCCCATCTAATGTTACACACCCTATTCAGAGACCTTAAGCACAAGCACCAAATACCCTATATAATCATTCTATCACCCCTTTAAGACAGGTTGATGCTCAATGTAGAGCTGCAAGACTTCAGAATTCCCAGTCGGACACTCTGGGTGTTTGACCACCTAAAACTTGTTGCTCTGACTACCAATTGTGATGCTGGACCACTGGATGCTCCTTGATTACACCATCGGTATAAAATGTTACTCAAGCTAGTTTTAACATTAAAAAAGGTCAAATTTTTAGGTGATGACTTTGACTAATCCCTTATATGCTGTTTTTTTTTTTTTTTTTTTTTCATAAAAGCAATTAATTGTAATCACAGTTTAGATTTGGCTGTTTCTGCACACCAAATAATTTTTAAACCTCGAGTGCAAAGCTGAAATTTTGGCCTTTGTGGAGCTCCATACAGCAGCCCAGTAACCACAGAATCCAAACCACTCTAATCTTGAAAGTATAAAGGAAAACAATTGATTTATCTGAAAGCCTTTAAAATTCCTGCAGCGTCACTGTGAGCGTCTACCCAGAATGCAACGGTAAAGTTGGTCTGCAAAGGTCAGGGAAGACTCACCAGAGTACGATTCCGTCTCCCACAGTGGCAAACAGGGAGTCTGTGTTTGGATCCATGGGCAGGACATGCTGGCAGTCGGGATCCTTTTCCAGAGCTGTGTTGATCCAGTTAACAAACGCGTATCGCTCCTCCTCTGGATGAGGGAGACGGAAGAAAAAACATTTGTTAAATAAAAAAATAAAAAAACACACCTTGGTTATTCCTAAGCTTTAATTCTCAGTTGTAGGTACGCCTAGACACATGTCTGTCTTTAGCTCCATCTCTAATCCAGAGTACTATTGGTGAAGGCCTTGCTATCGTAACCCTTCCCACTGAAGGTTCCCCTGGCCCAGTGCTTTAGTGTTCAGTCACGTCCATCCCTGATGGAGCCTGTGTTCTGTCAGATGGGCATACCCGGTCAGACCGGCATACCCATATTCAGTACCTGAGTATCCCTTTAGCCATGAGCAAAATAAAACTAATTACTTTTTGGTGTTTAAGCTGATGGTGATCTGACCCAAAATAGTTTTTTTTTTGTCGAGGTAGTTTGAAGTCCATTTTTCGTACAAAACTAAAGGGGATAGACACAAATCTGATGTCCTGTACTTTGGACATATTTATTCGTAGATAGATTACAGCATACATACATACATATAGCATACCCATAGACAGATACATGCGTATGGTCTATAGGTATGCTGGTCTGACAGAACACCAGTTTTTTCTCATCCATAGAAAGTACTGCTGGGTTTGGTGGGTTGTTTTCTACCATCAGATTTAAGTTCCATCGATGTTTCATTGCACAGAAAGAACCACAGGCTCGGTTCTTGTGTACCTTTCACCTGGAAAGTATTATTGATGAAGCCATTCCTGTTCCACCTTTTTAATGCTATTTATTTCCACTTCATTGATTGTAAAGATGAAAGGAATGCGTTCAGATGTAGCTTCCTGCCCTTCCAACGATTACCAGTGAGGCAATGAGACAGAAGGGCCAGTAAGAAGTTTCTGAGGTCTTTAGCACAACGTCATGCTTCATTAACTCCGCCTTACTGGATAGAAAACTCCAGACTCCTCGGGGAGTTCCAGCTTAAAATGGAGAACTTTATTGTCTGACAATAATTGTTCCCCAAAACAGCACAATAAACGCTTTCAGGCACTCATAAAACCCACTGAAACTAATAAAACAGCCTGTTAAAAGTGTACAGTGCAGCTCTTATTCTGAAGCACGTCACTGCAAAAAGTGAAGTACTAATTTTTTTCTTGAAATCAGAATAACAGTTTAATTAAATGTGTGATTCATGTCTCAAATAAGAAAAATAAACAACTCTGTTATTCTTCTTAAAGTTCATCTTATGTAATTATTGTATTTTAAGGGCAAAATACTCATTCATTAACAGATTATTATTTATCTGCTTAAATTAATGACCAACAGACATATTTTTAAAATATTTAAAGTTAATTTACACGGTGGATTTCCAGAGCCACTAAAGCTTTAAACTAAAATCATAGATAAAAAGAAATAAAACAAAATTCATGATTATTTGTAAGAGAAAAATAGATATTTCTATTATTATGTCTATAGATAATAATTAGGTGGAACAAGATGAAGTTACAGTTTTATTAACAATATTAATGAAAGTAGAAAACTTTCATTAATATTGTAAAAAAAAAAAAAAAAAAAGGAAATTGGAATAAAAAGCAACTTTGGAATAAAATAAAAAGGTTTTGAGTGCAATGCAAATGTGTATGCAGAAGTTCAACCAAGTATTTTAAAAGTTTCTACATTTCCACATTTAATTTAACTTTTGAAAATATTTTTTCGCAAATTCTTTCAAAGTTATATTTTCCGATACTATTTTTAATTTCATTTCATTTGAAAATATTATATATATATATATATATATATATATATATATATATATATAT